GGGGAAATATTTTTATGTTTTTTTATTTGTCAACATCTTTTTGGGAATTTCAAAAAAAGTTTTAAATGTCCCCGGTAAAAATTGTGTTGCAACGCGTGTCTTTTTTTGGCCCTTGTCAACACTACGATATTTGTCAACACTACGATATTTTTTCAACATACGATATTTGGGGGCAAAACTACGATAATTTTTCAAACTACATATTTGTCAACATCGATATTTGTCAAAACTACGATATTTTTTCAAAACCCACGATATTTGTCAACATACGATATTTGTCAACAGTAGATATTTGTCAAAACTCGATATTTTTTCAACAGTCGTATTTGTCAAAAATAGATATTTGCAACAGTACGTATTTTTCACAAATAGGAAATTTGTCAACAGTACGATATTTGTCACAATTAGGATATTTGTCAACACTACGATATTTGTCAACACTACGATATTTGTCACAAGTAGGATATTTGTCAACAGTACGATATTTGTCACAAGTAGGATATTTTCAACATAGATATTTGTCAAAAGTAGTATTTGTCACAAGTGGTATTTGTCAAAAGTACGATATTTTTCACAAGTAGGTTTTGAACCTACGATATTTGTAAAAACTACGTATTTTGTCAAAACTACGATATTTGTCAACACTAGATATTTTTCAACAGTAGTTTTGTCAACACTACGATATTTGTCAACAGTCGATATTTGCACAATAGGATATTTGTCAACGTACGATTTTGCAAGTAGGTATTTGTAAAACTACATATTTGTCAACAGTAACGTTTTTTGTCAACACTACGATATTTGTAACAGTACGTATTTGTCACAGTAGGTATTTGTCAAAAGTCGATATTGTCACAGTAGTATTTGTCAAAATACGATATTTTCAACACTACGATATTTGTCAACATCGTATTGTCAACACTACGATATTTGTCCATAGTACGATATTTGGATCCCAAGTCTCCGGTCCAGTGACATAAAGAAAACGTAATCAGTATTTTTTTTGTTACTTGTGATCCCCGGAGGATGATCCCTGGAGATGTCCCGGAGGATGATCCCTGGGGATGATCCCCGGAGGATGACCCCGGAGGATGATCCCTGGGGAGATCCTGGAGATTTCCCCGGAGGATGATTTCCCCGGAAGATGTCCCCTGGGGATGATCCCCGGAGGTGATCCCTGGAGGATGATCCCCGGGGGAGATCCCTGGGGATGACCTGGGGATGATCCTGGAGGATGATCCCCGGAGGTGATCCCTGGTGATGATCCTGGAGCATGAACCCTGGAGGATGATCTCTGAAAGGGTACCCCGGAGGATGATCCCTGGAGGATGATCCCCCGGAGGGATGATCCCCGGAGCATGATCCCCGGAGCATGCCCCTGGAGGAGATCCCCGGAGCATGATCCCTGGAGGATGATTCTGAAGGTTATCCCGGGGGTGTCCCCGGAGATGATCCCCTGGAGGTGATCTTGAAGGTTATCCCCGGGGGATCCTGGATGTGATTCCCTGGGGGTGATCCCCGGAGAAGATCCCTGGGGGGATGTCCCCGGGGATGATCCCTGGATGTGATCCTGGATGATGATACAGGTGATGATCCCTGGATGATGACCCGGATGATTCCGGATGGATCCCTTGATGATGATCCCCGGATGATGATCCGTGTGATATCCCCGGTTTAAATAACCCTGCCCTTGAAAGCATTAAGCAAGGTCTGGTAAATGCTATGATTTATGTATGATTCGGGTACGGATTCCACGGATTTTCGCCATGGTTCGGGTTTTAAATTCACAGGATTTATCGCCATGTTCGGCTATATTTTATAGGATTTATCATAACATTTCTCTTTGGTCACTGCCCATTTTCCCAAAAGGGTTGAAAACAGCAGTGTCCCAGGAGTTTGAAGGAAAAACACCAAACCATTTTTGCTGCGCAGACACCGTGAAAAAATGCATACTCCATATTTCCCTTTGTACGTAAGTGAGAAGGATTTTTTTTTTTTCTTAAAAGCCAGTCGCCAGAAACCAAGGTAAACAAATTTATTACAACCCTTTTTGTACCCCGAGCAGGGTTTTTGGCTTTTGTATTTTGAATTTTAAAAAAAGGGGCGGCGCCCCATGGGGGGTAGGATTGTTTTGCTGCACTATATTAAGTAGCAGTCTATTTCGAAAGCATATACATGATTTCAAAAATATGCAGGGTTTTACTTTTTTTTTTTTAAATTTTGGGTGGTACCCCCTTAGTTTTTTTTATACATTATATTATTTCTAAAATTAAGATAATACACCCCTTCGATAAAAAAATGGTAAAATTAAACCTGAGTTCCCACACCAGCAAGCGAAGGCAGGGTAAAATATAGCCCCCCACATCTGACTCCTGAAAGGAGGTGTGGGGGGGATGGGTTTCACATTGCCCCCTGTAAGGGGGGTGTGGGGGCACGAGTTTTTACATGCCCTTTAAGTGCAGGTGCGGGGGGTGTGTGTATCTCCCCGCCCCGACCGGCAGGGAAAAAAAAAAAACTTTGAAATCTTTTGGAAGAGCTACAAAAAAATTTTCATTAATTTTTTTACTTTATAGTTAATTTTAAAAGAAGCAAATACATCCGGACGGCCCCAAGGTTTTTGTTAGCAGTTATTAAGTAAAATGATTGACTCACTGTAGTGAAAATAAGCAAAGAAGTATATTGTTACTACAGATGGAGTTTGTATAATGGGTAGCCAGGTATACGAGTCTCCAGAACAGAAAGTTATGGGAAAACGGAGAATTAGACACCGCGCAAATTAGGTATTTTATTCGGTAGACGTTTCGTCAAGCAGTGGTTTTATCAGTACAATACAGAAGAAAAAGAGATAGATGAGGAAATCAGTCCCTCACCCCAGATTTTCCCGTACCGCAGTGTTCGTCCGCGGATGTTCAGACCGCGGATGTTCTACCGCGGATGTTTCAGTCCCGCACCCCGATGAATGTCAGATTCTCGATTTTAAGAGTGCGTATGGACCCCTGCCCCTAGGTGATTAATATCTTTACCTCTTAGTTTTCCCGTATTCTTTGCTAAAACCACTGGTTGGCGGAACTTTATAATAAAGTTTTCCTATTGTTCCCAAGGGTGTCTTTTTTTTAATTTTTTTTTTTTTTTTTTTATTTCACAGGGCCCGATTCCCACCAAGGCAGGGTGGCCCCGAAAAAGAAAAACTTTCCCTCATTACTCCATCACGTCTTCCCAAAAGGGTGTTTTTAAAACAGTTTTTAAACTGAACTTTAAAAACCCCCTCTTCAGATGCAGGCACTGTCTTTCCCATCTCCGGATCAAGTCCGGCCTGCGGTTTCCCTGAAACCCTTTTAAATGTTACTTTGCTCACACTCCAACCACGTCAAGTATTAAAAACCCTTTGTCTCCATTCATCCCATCAACACGCTATGTACCTGCGGAAGTCCAAGCCCCTCACACAAAACCTCCTTTACCCCCCTTCTCCAACCTTTCCTAGGCCCACCCCTACCCCCCCTTCCTTCATACAGATGATACACTCTCGAAGTCATTCTGTTTTGCTCCTTCTCTCTACATTCCCAACCACCCAAAACCCCTTCCTCGCCTCTGGACAAAAGTTTTGGGAATCCGACCTCCTCCTAAAATTCCAAATACGAATTCTCTGTTAATTCACCCACAATTGCCCTCAGACACGAATCTCCCCGCCTCAGCCTTTTCCTCGTTTCAACATTCTCACCCATGCTTCACACCCCTATAAAAGCGTTGGTAAAAACTATACTCTCATATTCCCCCTCTTTGCCTCCCAAAGGGCAAAATTCTTTGTTCCCAGATCCCCAAGGCACCCCCTCACTCTTTTTCCCTTCATTTTTATGATTCACCCATTTTCATAGACCCATCCGTGACACGTCCCCTCCCAAATATCTGAATACATTCACCCTCCATACTCTCTCCCTCCAATTGATATTCAACTTTCTCACCCCAAATTTTTTTTATCCTATAACCTTTCTCTTTTTGTATTTACCCTTTTTTTCTTTTTTTGCACACCCTACCAAAAATTTATCCACCATCTCTGCAACTTCTCTTTAGAATTTCCCCAAAAGAAAAAGTTCACAGCAAAAAGCAGCTGTGCAATTCCCACTTTGTGTGTGATTTTTATCTTTTAATCCACGCCTTTGTCAAGACCTTTGCTTTCTTCTTTACAACCCCCCTCTATAAATATATTAAAAAAACCCCGGTGACATCACACTCCTTGTCTAAGGCCTCTTTTATGGGAAATAATTTCCCTTTTCCTACTACTCTAACTTGGCCTCACTATCTGTAAAAACTTTCATGCTTTCATAACTCCCTACACCATAACTTGCAACATCTGCCCATTGCCCCCCTATCCCCCTGTCATAGCCTTTTTCCAAATCCTAAATGCCACAAAACCCCCTTTTAAACCTTATCTAAATATGTTCACTTATATGTTTCACTGTAAAACACCCGGGCCACCCCCCCCTACCTTTCTAAAGCCTCCTTGTTCATTGCTATCCCTTTTTCCCTCTTACCTTAATTCTTTTCAATAATAATCTCCCTACACTTTACCAGGTATACTCAGAGACTTTCCCCTTAATTAAATTTTTTGTTATTATATACCACTGATCTTTGGATGACAGGAACAGGACTTAACTCTTTTCAGGGTGACTCCACTGGATCAGTTCTGATTACCTCTCATTCTCCAGTAGCAGAATTGCCTTTTTCCAATGTACATAATATAAAATAATCAAGTATTTCCAATCATGGTTTCCTTGGTATGTGCAGCTCTAAGCAGTATGACCCAATGAGTCTTGAGGACATACAAGAATCCAACTGAAAATGTGTCTACTCACAGAATTTGGCAGGCAAATACAGGTGAAATGGTGATTCAAAGACAATTTAAGCTGGAAAAAACATTTTTACGACGTTTCACTCATAAAGTGTCTTTGCATCACCACTTACTGGATAACACCATTGTCAACCCACGGAGAAAGTGACTTTACCTGTAGTGGTCGCAGAGTGAGCAGTTGGTCAAGGTGAGGTTGAGAGTATCAATGCGAGGATGATAATCACACTTGTAAGGCTCCTGGAGGCTCAGACGAGGCTGGGCATCGTCAGGGTGAGCACAGGTAAGGTTGTAAGGCAGGAAGTCGGGCAAAGTGATATTCTGACGGCCGACTGGCACAGCCAGGAAAGTAAGTCCAGCAGCACCACTCGCTGCTGTCAGCACACTCAGCAGTATCTGCAACATGTAATATCATTTAATATCAAGGAATGCCCTTCAGAGAATGACCTTCAAGGGCATTCTTTGATGGTGACAATCTCCTGATTCCAAGAATTGTCAGTAACCCTTCCATTTCTTATATTAAACCTGATTAAGCCATTCCTCAAGAGCTGTATAAAATCTATTGGTTTAGCTCTTCCTCATGAATAATAATAATAATAATAATAATAATAATAATAATAATAATAATAATAATAATAATAATAATAATGCCCTCAAATGTAGGCACCGTTCTCACCATGCGGTGGTATATGACTCACGTTGATACAACGCTTTTCCGTGACTATAACTGGAACTGTTTCAGTCGCTGCGTGATGCAAGAAAGGAATCGCTGGTATCACTATATAACCCCAGCCACCTGCATCTCGAGCCACCACAGCGGCGCAGTAGTCACGCCTTTAACCCTCCAACGGACAGAAGAGCTACAGCTTTATTTCCCGAACTAGCTTGGCTGTCGTTACTCAACCCTCCAAGAAGGTCCATTAGCTGGAGATTAACGATTTCAAGAGGCCCATAAAATTTGATGTATACACTCAAGAAGCCTAGTACCTGTGGCTTAATACCCTCATAAGGTCCAAGAACCATAGATCAACACCCTCAGGAAATAAAGGATCCTTCAAATGATGGTAAAGGATTCTTGATCCAGGGAATTGATGCAACCATCTTCATTAGGTCAAATACAATATTTCCATTCCCACTGTATGGCCTCTACGAGTTTAGTGCTTCCCTTTGAAAATTATGAGAGTAATAATATAGAAAACCAAGAGTTAGAGCTGAGCCCAACCAAACAGTATTATGAGACGACTCACTCTGTGATACTTAGCGCGCGATTTCCCTAGAGTTTTCTTAAACATAAACCTGAGTGTCATGGCTCGCACAAAGTAAATTAATTTGTGTTTCTATAAAGAATCAGTTATAGTCAGTAAAAAAATGTGATATTATTGACACACTGAAAAAAGCTCTCAACACGGTTTTACAAAGGGGCGTTCCTGTCTTGCGAATTTACTAACTTTTTTCACTAAGGTGTTTGAGAAGGTAGATCATGGTAGTTAATATGATATTGTGTATATGGACTTCAGTAAGGATTTCGATAGAGTTCCACACCAGAGGCTATTGAGGAAACTTAAGGCACGCGGAATAGGAGGAGAAATTTTTTCCTGGGTAGAGGTATGGCTGACAAATAGACAGCAGAGAGTTTGCATAAACGGGGAGAAATCAGAATGGGGGCACGTCACAAGCGGTGTTCCTCAGGGGTCAGTGTTGGGACCCTTGTTGTTCACAATTTACATAAACGACATAGATGAGGGAATAAATAGCGACATAAGCAAATTTGCTGATGACAGCAAAATAGGCCGTCCAATTCATTCTAATGAGGACACTAGATCACTCCAGGATGATTTGAATAGACTGATGCAATGGTCGGAGAAGTGACAGATGCAATTTAATATTGACAAATGCAAAGTTCTAAATGTTGGACAGGTAAATAACCATGCCACATATAAACTAAATAAGGTAGATCTTAATACTACTGATTGCGAAAAGGATTTAGGAGTTCTGGTTAGCAGCAACTTAAAACCAAGACAACAGTGCATTAGTGCTCGCAATAAAGCTAACAGAATTCTTGGCTTCATATCTAGAAGTATAAATATAGAAGTCCTCAGGTTGTTCTTCAACTCTATATATCCTTGGCTAGGCCTCATTTAGACTATGCTGCTCAGTTCTGGTCACTGTATTACAGAATGGATATAAATGCTCTGGAAAATGTACAAAGGAGGATGACAAAGATGATCCCATGTATCAGAAATCTTCCCTATGAGGATAGACTGAGGGCCCTGAATCTGCACTCTCTCGAAAGGCGTAGAATTAGGGGGGATATGATCGAGGTGTATAAATGGAAAACAGGAATAAATAAAGGGGATGTAAATAGCGTGCTGAAAATTTCCAGCCAAGACAGGACTCGCAGCAATGGTTTCAAGTTAGAAAAATTCAGATTCAGAAAGGATATAGGAAAGCACTGGTTTGGTAATAGAGTTGTGGATAAGTGGAACAAACTCCCGAGTACAGTTATTCAGGCTAAAACATTGTGAAGTTTTAAAAATAGGTTAGATAAATACATGAGTGGGTGTGGGTGGGTGTGAGTTGGACCTGACTAGCTTGTGCTGCTGGGTCTGGTGCAGTGCTCCATCCTTGAGTGGAGATAACCAGACTGGGTGGGTCATTTGGCTAATCCGGGGGGGAAGTCACTGGTCTAATCCGGGGGGGGGACATGGACCTGCTCCGCATGGGTCAGTAGGCCTGTTGCAGTGTTCCTTCTTCCTTATGTTCTTATGTTCTTATACAGAGTACTTCGGGCAGAAGGAATCGGTTATCATGGTGAGAATGATTAAGAATCTACGAGTGGGTATCCCTCTATTCATTGTTAAATTCATCCTGCTGAAAGATATCAACGTTGGTAGACGAGAAAACACAGATATCCCTAAACTTTAGAGCAGCAGAATCAAGCACTATGATCAGAGTTTGGACAACATAAAACATCTTAGGTTGTGTATCAGGGTGACTACCAGAGTCAGGGATATCGTATCCTACTAAATACTGGGATTTAATCCTTGTAACGATCAGCACTTGCAAAGGTACCGTTTACGGCACTCTACTCAAAATGGCAAATCATAATTGTCTGTCCACAGTTTTTTCGTAATTTCATACGAGGAATTAAAAATGATCCTAGACATCATCTTTCGAAGGCAGATAAATCAAATTCTGTGGTTATTTTGGGACGAAGTAGACAACTTGGGGGAACAATAATCTTTAACTAGATGACAGATAAACATATGTTCCCATTATTAAGAACCTCCTCGATCAGATTAACAGCCAGTTCAATAAACAGCAAAAAACTGACTTAAAGGAAATGATGAACTTATGAAACAACAGTCAGCTAGATCAACCACACTCCTATATATGTATAGGTTGATTAAGATTAATAATAGTTCCATTGTTTCCAACATAACATTGTTAGTTTTGTCGTGTCTGAAGCACAAAAACTTTCTAAATAGCTGGTCAAAGTGTTAACCTTATTGATGGGCAACACATCGGATGCTCATCTAAAATGTGAGGAATTTCATAATTTCAATATGCCGAATGACTTCACTTTCCTTTGAGGTACCAGTGGTGAATGTTTGAACCCGATCAGAAGAAGCATTCTTTAGTTATCACACACACACAAAATTTAGTTGTTAAATATGTTAGGAATTTAGCAAATTTTAATGTATAAAATCTAAAACTTTACCGAATTTTTCTTTTCGTTAGATACATCAGCGTTCACAGTGTGAAGATGTGGAAAATTACACTTCTGTACAGTTCGGGATATTAATTAGAAGAAACGTTTCGTCCCGAGCAGCTTCAGTCGTGATCAACACCCGTGGCGAAAGGTGTGCTATTATAAATGTCCTCAACTGTACATAAGTATTTTTCCCACATTTTGTCGGAATCATCACACGAAAAGTTTCATTAATGTTTTGATCAGTACATAACGTGTGTTTTACCTACATATTTCTCCTAGATCTCCATGGAGAAGTGGAACAGAATTCTTCCTCCGTAAGCCATGAGTGTTGTAAGAGGCGACTAAAATGCCGGGAACAAGGGGCTAGTAAGCTCTTCTCCTGTATACAGTACTAAATTTAAAAAAAAAACTTTCGATTTTCTTTTTAGGTCACCCTGCTTCTGTGGGATATGGCCAGTTTGTTGAAAAAAAAAATCCCCTAGAGCAGTGGTTCCCAAACTTTTTCAGCTTGTTACCCAATTTAACATGCCACAAAAGCTTGTTCCCCCTTTTCAAAAAAATGTTGTTATTATTGATATATATGGCAAAAACGGGGAAACGTAAACAGCCCGCATCCCTGCTAACCCTTTAGAAAAAACCATTAAAAAACGTAAGAACCAAAATACTTTATATAAAATTTTTTAATAAAAGCTACAATTTAAAAAAAAACGGGGGGGTTTAAATACAACTAAAACTGCACGGGGGCAGTACACATACAAACCGTTTAAATTTTCTACCTTGGCTGATGTTTCACAAAAAACTGACAGTGTGAAATAGAGGGCAGCCCGGGAAGGGGAGTGACGCGAAAGGGGACGGGGTCGATCTGGGTTTAGGGAGTGACTTTTGCCCCTGAAGCATACTTGTCAAAATACTTTTGGGTTTCCACACACTTAGCTAAAATATTTCTTTTTTTCTAATACTGTAGATTAGTTTTTGAGGTTTTTTTTAAATTTGGTTTAATTTTATTATTTTACTTATAAAAAGGTTTTACTTTAAAAACTTTTTTATACTAAGACAAAATTAACAATAATCCCCATACCGGGTACCGCATTGTTTTCTTGATTTTAGAATTTATAACTTTTTTTCTGTCCCCCTCCATTACCCCCCCAAAAAAGGTTAAAATTTAACCCCGGGGGGAATTTACCCCCCCGTTTGGGAACCATGCCCTAGAGTTTTCCCCCAAAAACCCGACGTCTTTAAGGGAATGGGGATTGGTTTTTGAGGTTACTCTCCTGTTAAATTACAAAATTTGGTTTTATTTCATTGAGACGCTAACCAGTTTTAAATCTTAAATGGTTAAAACGTTATATACGTTTTTTTTAACTTTTGAAAAGTATGTAAAAAATGTAGATCTTTTTTCTGTTTTTACATTTGAAAACCCTTTTTAAAAAAAAAATTTTTTTACATTTTTTTTTGTTATATTTTAAAATATGGGAAAAGGGAAATTTGATCTATTTTGTAGCACACGAATTTGAACGTCGTCTTTTGGGGCCTTTTTTGGGTTAAAAGGGGCCTTTCCAGGGATGTTTGGGGGACGGAAAAGCCTAAAATTTAATGAGAAAAAGGGTTTAAATTTTTTTAAATTTTCTCCATTCCGATCCCCTACAGTCGTTTTTTTTCTACCGCAAAATCCCCGTA